AAATAAAAATGATCTATTTTGAAGATTTTATAAAATATGGAAGAGGAAAAAAGATAGAATAAACGAAAACAACAGCATAATAATAAACAAGTTAAGTAATTAATAAATAAGACAATGTAAAATAAAACGGGGCTGTATTGATATCAGATATTCACTTCATATTTATTGTGGCAGAAATAAATCAAGATAACAATATTATCAAAGTATCTATAGAAATGATCTTAACAACAATAATAAAGCTATCAGTCAAAATACATTTTAGCTTTGTTTATTGTGTATTTTTCTCTTTTTTGGCAAATCAATTACACTTAACATGCTTTGAAGATGACATTTGTTATACATCACAGTTATTGTCAATACTTATATCATGATAACCCTAGTTTAAAACAAAGCCAAACCAGTTCAAACTGGATTGGCCGCCCCTCCCTTACCACTAGCTTGGGGAAGCTCATTCCAACCAGGAAGTTGGCCGTCCAGTTGCAGCAGCCGGCCACAGCCATGGCGGCGGGGCGGGGCCCCTGAGAGAACAGCTCGGCCACAATGAACCATGGGATTGGACCGGGGCCCAGCTCAAAAAATGCCACGAACATCATGACGGCCACGATGGCCATGTAGCTCATCACAGTATAGTGCTTCTGCTCAGACAGAGGGAGAGGAAGGGAGGCAGAAAAACAATGACATACTATGAAGGAGTGATCATTAGGAAAAACAACTGAAATTGCTACTAATTTGAACACATGGTAAGGTCATTACAATATAATTGAAGTATTTATTTAACTTAACATAAATCTAAATAAAACAACGTCCACCTTAAAAATAAAATCACCACCTTTCTGAAATAATTCCTTTAACTCGCATAAACCTTTTGTATTCCTTTTTTGGCACTGTTCAGCTCCTACCCAACAGAATTATACATAAAAACATCCTATACCATTTGCATTACATTGCAGTGAAATATTTTGGCGTCACTAATTCAGTTGGTTAGACAGAACCCTGAACATAACTCCTTAACTTGACATCAATATAAGCTTAGAAATAGCCTTTAAAAATAATCTTAAACGTAAGTTTTTCTTATTCTAAGAGATTTCTAGCTTTCAAAAAATATATAATTTATATAAATAGTATATATTTTTCAGATTGGATCAACTGTGAGGTAACAACCTTTCCTTGTAGGGATTCATCGGTTATTTGTGATTTTGACTGTGACGGTGCTGCACTCACCAGCAGGAGGGAGACGGTCATCAGTACGGCGCTAATTGCCATTCCAGCCAATCCCAGGAGGTGCAGAGTCCTCCGTCCCGCCTTCTCCACCAGGAAGAGCTGCAGGACACACACAGGAGGCAGTGATGTCTCTCTGAACACACACACTGAAACATGCAGGGACATACACACTGAATCTGTCACTCACAGAAACGACAGTGAAGATGGTGTTGACGATGCCGGCTCCGATGGTGGCGTAGATGGGCTGCTTCACACCGGCTGACTCAAAGATGCCTGTCGAGTAGTAGAACACCTAAGAGACACAGAGAAGAGTAGTTATTTACCATAGATGAACCTTTCCAATTACAGTCCAAGTTCAATCATATTATCACATTGCAAATAAGGATCCACACATTTTTCTTGCAGTAAGAACTTTAAGTAAAACATGTTACAAAATGTTACACACAGTAATTGGTCAATGTTGCATCTTGTTCTCTAGTTTAGTTTTAAATGATTAAATGATCAAATCAGCATTCGAGTAAGGGGTGGGGTGGAATCCTCGTAAGTGAATTCAAAACAAAAGTCCTCGCCTGGTTAAAGATGATTCATGCTGAAAAATGTGTTACTGCAGAAGTAGTGTAGGGACTGTTCTGATTTCATATCATTTTATAATAATGTATATATTATTGGATTACAAATATTGATGTTTTAAAGTTTTCATTGCTTTAAGTTGAAGCTTGCAAAGGTGGTTATGATTTGAGTAATTTAAGATCCTTAAGATATTAAAGGTTGAAGTAAAAGGTAGCAGAAAATGGCACTTAAGTACATTAGTATAAATGCTTAACAGGTGATTTCTGGATTGAAATATAGATTTTGTTGAACTTATATGTACAGAAAGTAGTGCACAACTGGATTTTATTAAGTGAATTAAAAAGAAAAAAAATGATGACAGAACAATTAGATGTTGCCAGTGTAACATGGTGTATTTGTACACAACCCTCATTGTGTTTGTGTGTGTGTGTGTGTGTGTGTGTGTGTGTGTGTGTGTGTGTGTGTGTGTGTGTGTGTGTGTGTGTGTGTGTGGTGTGTGTGTGTGTGTGTGTGTGTGTGTGTGTGTGTGTGTGTGTGTGTGTGTGTGTGTGTGTGTGTGTGTGTGTCTCTCACAGCGTTTATCCCTGACAGCTGCTGGGAGAGCTGCAGCATGATGGCGATGAGCAGCGGCTGGCGGTACGCTGCGGAGCGGAACAGCTCTGGGATGGTGACCTTCTTCTCCATGGCCATCTTGGCGCTCTCCTCCTTCATCTCCTGCATGTCTTTACTCACATCCTCACTGCCACGCAGGCGCACCAGCGCTGTCAACACAACACAATCACAATGTGTCTTTGTCTTCCACATTAAGGATGAGAATATAAAAATGCTCTGTTCGCATGTGAGAATCTTCTGACAACCATGAAGGTCATTACATTGTATTTAAGTATTTTCATACACAGTATATACTGTATATGTACTTCTAAACACTTCTACTGAACTACAATTCTGAGAGAAATATTGAACTTGTTACTTCACAGATTTGGATTAATAATACAAAATATAATTCATTAATTATAGAGCTACTTTAGCTTATTATTATTATAAGTATAGAGCTTATGATAGGTGAACTGACATTAGAGTATGTACAATAACCCCCTCTTTCCCCAGCTGCAACATTAACATTAAAGTGATAATAATGCATCATAATTATAATATTATAATATAAGCAATTGGTTCAGTTGTTAGGAGAAACTTAAACAAGCTTATTTATCTTCACCGGGAGCTGAAAAACAAATTTGCTGCATTGAAACAACTGAAAGGTTGACTTTAAGAAAATGTATTATGTCAACAGAGATGTCACATAACTGTATTAGGTTAGTTGAGAGCACCACAAACTGCAGGCAGTCACTATGATGCAGCTCTCATGAGTGGAGCCTCGTGTTTGTTTGTGTTTGTTTCAGAGGAGAGGTGTGAAGAGGAAGAGGGTCAGCGCCTGAGAGACGACCCTGACAGCCTGCGTGTTGAACAGATGCCAAAACCTTCTGCCTGCTCAAGGACTCTTCTTCCTGCAGGATAAACATCGCCCAGACTCACCTCAATTCACCCCTGCCTGCAACTAATGCTATCTCTATATTGAATCGATCCTTCTGTCGTGCTTTTCTCACTTTTCTCAGCAGATCTTTTACCAAAGCTTTGAATGTCGTCGACATTCTTTTTTAGATTAAATACATTTTTTCTAAAACTGTTTTAACAGTATTTTCACTAGTTCCAGCAGTATCGGCAGTGGTGTATTTGTTAATATAGACATTAGTGTCATTTGTAAAAAAAGTGATATTGTAAGCTGAAGTTTTGTCAGTATTAGTGCGTACCTTTGCGTGCCTGCTCCTCCTGTTTAAGGTTGATGAGCAGGAAGCGAGGGCTCTCAGGGCAGAAGGGCAGCAGGATGCACTGCAGCACAGCAGGGACCACGGTGAGGGACAGCAGCAGGGGCCACAGCTTGGCTGAGCCCAGCAGACCCTCCAGCCCGAAGACCTAAACACCAAGGGGCACAAAAGCTGGGTCAGAATTTCAGCATAGCTAAATAATCGATTAGCAGGCAACACTGTTAAACGTATTGACAAACACACATATAAGTTGCTTACATATTAAGATGTTGAAGATAACTAAACAGCTTATACTGTAGGCCAGGGGTGTCAAACTCAAGGTCCGGGGGCCAAATCCGGCCCGCGACTTCATTTGATGTGGCCCGCAAGAGCTTGCAAAGAATATAATATGTTTATTATACGGTTACATGCCACTTTACAGAAGCAGGTTGCCCATAAACTACATGTCCCACAATGCATCTCATTTTGTGACATGTGCACTGAAGAAACTTGCAATTATTTGCCCTGGACTTCTGCTTTCAGACGTAGTTAATTACTAAGTTATTACCCTATCCGATAATAATCCAATTCAGAGGCAATAATGTCATATAATACATTATTTTATATATATTATATATTTTTATATGTATATTTATATAGTTACCACCGGCCATTTGAGTGCAACCATAATGCTAATATGGCCCGCGATTAAATTGAGTTTGACACCCTGCTGTAGGCCATTCAATATTTAGATTTTGTGCATCTTGCCGGGTGTTGAGTATATCAGCTTTAAAGATGTCTGCCTTTTATCAAATATAAAGAAACTAGATGGCACTTGGCTTGTGATGCTCAAAGCACAAAAAGCATGCATTTGAAAAAACTCAACAGCTATGTTTCTTTCCAGAAATTGTGACTTGGTTACTCAAGATGATCCACGTACGTTGTTGTGAGCAGTTTCATATAGGAACTAGTTTTGTTCTACTAAACCAAACGTTCCAACCATATCACCGTGCAGAAGGATCTTCTTTTCTCAAATCTAATTTGAAAAGTATAGTTCCATTATATTCAGGAGAAGACAGACATCTCTACGGCCAATATTTCAACTACTACGGAACATCTCTTTAGGATTTTTAAATAGCCCTAAATGTAAGAGGAAAAATATGTTTATTTTTTAATGTCAATTAAGTGTTCCTATAAATGTGATGTATGTCAGGAAACCTCCTGCTGACCTGAGCGATGAGGATGCCCACTACCACACCGAGCTGGTGAAGAGTCCCGAAGGCCCCTCGTAGTGGAGTTGGTGACACCTCGCCCACGTACATGGGAGTCAGACCGGTAAAGAGCCCGCAGAACAGGCCGATGACCAGGCGACCGGCGATTACCATCTCATAGGAGGAGCAGATGGTGGAGAAGCCCATGAGGAGGCCGCCGATCACCGCTAGAATGTTCACCAGGAACATGGAGCGACGCCTGGGGAATAAGAGGAGGAGGAGAGAGAGCATTAGCTTTGTTTAGCTAACAGTTCTTCTAACAGCATGGTCATTTAAATGTTTGTAGCTTAGTGATTTGAATGACAATAGAGGAAGGGAGGTTGTTGGTGGGGTGAGCAGAATCAGAATGCCTTTATTAGTCCCATAGAGGGGACATTTGAGAAGTTACAGCAGAAAGAAAAAAGCCACAGAGTGACAGCTTAATGTATGTTACATGCATTAAAAAGTACTAAGTTATGATATAATAAAAAATATAAAAAATATAATTAAAAAAAAAAAAAAAAAAAATTACATAATTGAGAGGTTTGTGGAAGATTGATAACTTTATTGATTATCTGAGGGATTACCATAAGGGTGTCAGAGCTGATTGACCTGATGCTCTCCCATCTAATTAGTTCATCGACAGATAGTTATTGGTCCAAATTGCAGGTCAAACACATGTGGGTTTATTTGTGAATGACTTTGAGTGTCAAGATAAAATATATCATGAAATCGCCGGTTTTTCTTGTGTTTTCTGTTAACCGTTTTTATCGTAAATTGTGGTTTGAGTTTTGTTTTTGTTTATAGCTACACCATAGTAGCTAGTACTAGTTATACATACCTTAAATGTCTGGAATTAGGTTTATTTGCACCTTTTCGGATAAGTAGATGAAAACACCAATTGAAATTGCACGTCTGGTTTTAAGTGTGGAGCAAAAGTGAGAGGCGGCTAGCTTCTGCACAGAGGAACAGCTAGCATGAATCTTCAAGGTTAAACTAAAATATATATTTTTAAAAGCTTAACAATTCATCAAAATCGTACTTATTAACACACTATGTTGCTTTTGTTTAGTCTCACACAAACAGAAACGAAGATACATGAACAGGCTAGGTTTAAGTATGTATGCTTAGCTAAGCTAATTGGAAGGAAGTGGATTTCCCTTTAAAGCTAAATACTTATTTCTACAAATCATACCATTTTATTTGTGGAAACAACAGGCCAAATGAATACCACATTTCAAAAAAATGTGTGGAAAACCCATTTATGGCAGTCATCAAAACAACAGTCTCACCATAGAAAGGCAATAGCATTGTGCTTTGATGCTCAGGGTCAGATTCAGATGGACATGACGCAAAACTCTGGGGAACATTAGGGCCAAGCAGTGGGCTCAAAACAGACGCGCTTCATAAACTCCATTAGGACTAATGGCTTTTGACAGTACAGCTGAATCACACAGGAAATAAACAAAGCCATTAAAGGACAATCAACACACAGTGTTCAAATTGTCATTGAATATGTATAAAAACCCTTACAAATTACAATTTCTACCTGTGCATTACACTTACAATGTGCCAAGAACAGGTTAGGTTTCTCATTACCAAAGTGTTCACACAAGCTGCTTATATAGTTGAAAATGCATTCCTACCTGCCAAACCGGTTCGCCATGACGCCCACGCTGAAGGAGCCCACCATACCGCCCACACTGAAGATGGCGACGGAGACACTCCAGACGATGGTACAGACCCCGGGGGTGATGGGCTCGCCATAACGCTCGACCCAGGTATCGTTGAAGAAAGATCGCAGTTTCTGATGGCAGGGACAAATTAATTAATAGAAAAATATTGGATGTATTTAAGGAAATAAACACACCAAGGTTGCCAGAGGTCGATTAGCATAGCTTAGCATGAAAGCAATAAGAAAACGGCTAGCCTGTCTCTTAAGCTTACAAACATACAAACTCAATGGACAGATATGATGAAACATTTTCAAAATGTATCCACTTATTTCTAGGAGTAACTCAACTTTCAAACTAGCAAACAAAGTAACAAAGTACATATCATGGTCCTAAAAAAAGATCTAAACGTGGTGTACTGGTAGTTCTGAAAATCTTCATCTTTACCCCTGTATTTGTTCTCTAATAATCCAGTTTAGAGTTGCACAAATGTCAGATCTCTGCTGTTTCTCCACATTTTTCAATTATCTCTTTGGTTTGCTACAATATAGTATCAAGAACCACACACTAGCTGGGTTGTTGAACTCCAGAGTTTTGGAACATAAAATCACATACAGAAAATGAGCTTTACAAATGGCTCCCAGCTGGGGAAGCTGATGTGCTAACTCTGTGCAGCTTCACATAGGGAGTCTGAGATCTTGGCAACAAACACACCCTGATGTCACCATTTAATCACCAACCTGCTCTGGAGCATTGATGACTCCTGTGTTGTAACCAAACTGCAGAGAGCCGATGACAGCGGTGCCGAGAGAGAACAGGAGGTAACCTGTGACTTGCTTTTCTTTCTGTGAGGAAGAAGAGGGAGAACAGGAGGAGAAAATGTCGGGAAGAAGAGGAAAAGAAGAAGGTAGGAGAAAGGAAACAGAAAATGGTGACAGATGTGGAAAAAAGAGGTAGGGTGAAGGAAGGAGACAAAAGCAAAGACATAATAAATTATGTCAGCCGAGATTATAATGACATTTTCCTATAATTGCAGCTGGTATACAGATGCAGTAAAGCGGTGGTGCTGATGGCAGGCAGGTCAGTGACGCACCAACAATAATATCAGGTATCAGTAAGCTCTAGCTCAGAGTGCCCATAAACACACCACACATGCAGCCACACAAGATTACTCATCATATTTGTACTGCAATCACTATGACACACCGGGTCTTAGTGTAATTCCTGTAAAAATTAGTGTACTTCAAGAAAATGTATTTAAAAACCTAAAAATAATACCTAAAATGTACTAAACGTGTTATATATGATGTTATAATGGTTTATTGTGCCCTACACACTAACTGTGATCAATAGTTTTTATGAGTTTCTTCAACATGATCGGCTAAATGCAGATCAAATTCAATAGTGAAGCCGTCCATCTGCTCCCGTGTGAGCTCCCATAATGCCATCAATTCATTTCAGTAATGAAATCAGGGTGAGTATTAAAGGAGCCGTCACTGGCAGAAACGTCCGAGGCACGATGCATTCATGAAGGAAATTACAATGAACTTTTGGGATTTTTTTAAGTTGCCAAATGCGCACTGATGGGAGCAGCGTCACATTAGAGGCCATCATAACATCATGTCTATTCGAAAATGTTTTTCAATACTCCTCCAATAGAGTGTGCATTTTCCTAATTATCATTTACGATTAAATGTCAATAATAAAATCAATGTCAATGTTGTTGCTACCAGCAGGATTACAGAAAAAACTATATTTCATGATATTAAGTTGAAGGGTAAGGGTAACCCATTCAATTTTGGAGCAGATCAGAATCAAGGGGTATTTTTTACTCGAATCAGCCTTGACAAAGATTTGTGTTTCCAACGGCACTTATTGTAAATGAAGGCAGTAAAACAATCCATGTTCCATCTACAGGGTCACTTAAGGCATCGCAATAACATAAATCTTTGCTTTTGGTTCAGCACTTGTTCTAATGTCGTTACTGGACAGCAATTAGAGGTCAAAAAAGGTCAAAGCTTATAAACGCTTCACGATTGATCCCACATATGAAATTCCGGGGAGGTTAAGCTGGATCTCAGCATTGGAAATAACTCCATTGTGTCTTTGTTTCTGCTGATGTCTGTTACAAAGCAGTCAGTACATAAAGAGACTCGCTGCTGACGGGGCAGAATGTGCCGCTGTTATATGAGACAGCGTAGAGACCTGGAGGCCTCAGGTGATACACCGCCCTTGGTACAAAATAATCGGAGCGAGGTCACATAATATTAGCATAGACTGCACTTCTCAAGATTCACTGTAGCCAGATGGGTGTTGGCCACACTGGACCAATCAGAGAAAGAGAGAGAAATATGTATGGAAATGTATCTGAAGGTTAAAGTGGAACGATTAAAAAGAGCAATTTGAGATTAGGCGCATTCACACCGCAGTACTTTTCCCACTTTAGTTCCGATATAGTTCCGAAATGTTGCGTTCACACCAAAAAAATCCGGAACAAAAATGTGTTCATGAGAACCTTTTTACCCCCTTTTTACCCCCTAGAGAGCAGGGACTTTCATGGGAGAAAAAGGTTCCTATGTCTGATTGGCTGGGCGGAATGCAAACCACGGCCCGTAAATCTCCCAAAAAGTTTTGTGAAGCCGCCATTTTATTATCCTCGCATTAGCATTATTAGCATAAACTCGCACAAACGCAGAAAGACTAACTTATGACAACACAAAAGAAAACATGGGAGCGGTGGAGATGAGGAGATGAGGAGGTATCGGCGTTCAGTAGTAGCTGCTGGGAGTCCCAGCAGCTTCTACTGAAGCCAGTCCCTAACTCCGGGGACTTCCAGCCGGGGACTTCGGGTGGCAGTATACGCCGTGAACTTCACGGCGTATACTGCCACCCGAAGTCCCTAACTTCCCGGTGAAGTTGTTTGCGGCCTGCCAGTAAACCCAAAGCAGAAGAAGAAGAAGTGATGTCAGTGGCTTCATTTGCCTAATCCTCCCCCAGGGACTTTGTTACGATTATTGTGTTATGTCACGTTTTGTATGTCTTGTTTTGGGTGTTTTGCTGTTCTCCCTGTCATGTTTTCCTCTTGGTATATTGTCTGGTCCTTCTTCCTGTGTTTTTCCTCCTGTCGTTAGTTTCCCTGGTGTGTCTAGTTGTCTGATTGTGTTCACCTGTGGCCCTTGTGTTTCTCCTCCCCTGCCCGGCTGTTTCTCGTCTCGTGATTACCCCTCCCTGTATTTAGTCTTGGCTCTTCCTGTGTTCAGTGTTGGTTCGTCTTTTGTTGGTGACTGAGTTCACCGGGGAGTGTTCTGTTTTGTCCGAGTTTTATTCATATCCTTGAAATAAAGGTGTTATCAGTTTATTCTGCATTTGGGTCCTGCCTGCTTCACTCTACCGTAACATACTTATTCCGGTGTGAACGCGATCTGTACTTAGTTCATGAGAACTGAACTAAGTTCTGATGAACCTTTGTGGGAAAAGTACTGCGGTGTGAAAGCGCCTATTGGCATATTTCAGATTTCAAATTTCAGATTCATTTTCTCTATAAACATCTAAGAAACTGTGTTTAAGCCTTGTATTAAAACAACGAGCCATTAGATGAATGATGACACCTTTAGGTCATGGATGGATGACGTAGAAGGGGAAAAAACATGTTTCTTAGCGTTTACGTAAATCGGAACATTGAAGTCTTATATAGTAGAGAATGATAGTTCTTACTGTATGAAGTGAAGTGAGAGGCGGTGTGCTCTCACTGAATATTGCATGCTCATAAAACCTTCAAGGGTACATTAAAGCAAACCCAGTCCTGCATTTGGCTGTACCCAATTGAGTGAATCGTTGACTTACTCAGTCAAATCAAGAGTTTTTTAGGAAATTAAATCTACCCTTTGGCTAAAAAGCTTTTTCACTGTGTTGTTGCCTTCCTTGGTTTGCAGACGTTCCCTGAAGATGTAAGTGACATTTATGAGCAAACAATAAATCTTGTGAGCCTTCAATGAATCAAAGCTCTAGATGTATCTGGGTGTGTCAGCACTTATGTGGATTAGTCTGCTCATATTCTGTATCTCAGTATCAATGAGACCAAATAGAAACGTTTGTCTTTAAAATATGTATATTTTATTTCATAGGTTAATTGATAATAATGTTAATGAATCATCACTACTGGCTCTGAACTGATCTACTGTTCCTTCAAATAAGTGATATGAAAAACACAACATCGTTTTTGATTTTTGTAATTGTTGTATGGATCCATATAAGTTATATAAGATATGCACTTGCTGCTGTTGTAATCATGTAAATGTCCCCTGTTGCGGACAAATAAAGGATTTGTGATTCTGATATTCCACTCCCTTTATTTTATATTTGTTGCGCTCATGCACAACTCGTCTTTTAAAATAACTCAAATGTTAACATTAAAACGATAGTTACGGCTGTAACTACGGTTCTATGAGTCTCGGATGACTGCCAGAGGCGGTGCTTTAAGCACTGGATATGTCCATCGCGCATGCGCAGCTCGAGTACCAATAACAACAAAGTCACCTGTGACCCACGTGACACTGGCTATATCAGCCGGTGTTGTCAGAGGATCTGTTCCCAGAATCTTCTCGCGAGCACACAAGAATTCTGAGTGACAGGGAACTCTGGCGGTCATCCGGGACTCATAGAACCGTAGTTACAGCCGTAACTATCGTTCAATTTCGTCCCTACTGACCGCCAGAGGCGGTGCTTTAAGCACTGGATGACTTATACCAACAATGTCATGAAGAATCCAAGCCCTTGCTCACCACTGGAAACAGCGGAGCTCGGCAAAAGGACCACGCCCAAAGAATGGGGAGTGGCGACATTGACCTGATGACAACTGGAGAATGTGCCAGAAGACGCCCACGACGCCGCGGCGTAGATGCCCAAGGGCCGGAGGAACTGAATATAAGGCACCATCTTGCCCGGCCCACGTGGAAGTAGGCATCCCTCAAGTCCACGGTTGAGAACCACTCCACCTGTGCATATGCAGTGGTCAGCATATAGAATGGCAGCACCTTCGGGAATCTGTTGATTCCTCTGAGGTCCAAGATCGGGCGAAATCCGCCGACTTTCTTGCTCACGAGAAAGTACGCCGAGTAGAACCCCCTGGGCTAAGCAGAGGGTCTTACTGGCTTGATTGCGTCCTTGGACAGAAGGACGGACAACTCTTGGGCCAGAGCTAGGGCCCCTGCCGGATCGCTGACGACTGTCAATTAGACCCAGCCGAAGGCTAGGGGCCGGAGCTGCGGTCCGTACCCCTGGGTTAAGGTGAAAACCACCCAAGGGACGGAAGTACAGACCGCCCAGTAACTGAGCTGCTGCTGGGAAAGCAGCCGACGACCGCCCCCTGGATTTCAGGGCCCAGCCCCCCGGCCCCTGGAGCCTCTTGGGGGGCGCCGGTAAGGCTCTGGGGCACGAGGCCGCCTGGAAGGCGGGCGACCTGGGGCACGAAAGTCATAAGACCTCTGCAGACCACCCCTGTAATCCGGCGGCTGAGTGCGGCTGCTAGAGCGGCCCCTGGGCCTGCTGGGAGTGGGCACAGGTCTGCGAAGACCCGAGAGATGCTGCCTGGTCTGCCTAGCTTGGGCGGCACGCTCCAGTGCCTCCAGGGCAGCTGACCTAAACAGCTCCCCTGGCTCGACTGGTACGCTACGGAGGACTCTCCTACATGCCTCCGTTAGTGGTGACTGGGCCAGCGAAACCTGGCGACGAGTCTGTACCAGCGACAAGGCGTCCTCATACAGAGGTGCGTCAACCGAAGGAGGTGCGTCAGCCGAAGGAGGTGCGCCAACCGAAGGAGATGCGCCAACCGAAGGAGGGGCGTCAA